GTGGTTTCATAGTAAAAATTTTGATATAACAGAAGGGGTGCAATATATTGCACGTGCAATAAATTTTAAAACCCATAGATTTATATCTATATAATATATATTTTCTAAATTTATTACTTTTTTTAAATTATTTTTTTAATCACTTTAAAAATATTTTCTATAACAGAAAAGATTAATTTTTGTTATATTTATAGTATTAACAAAAGTTTTTTTACATCTAACAAAAATTTTTTAAAATTATATATAATATTACAAAATTTCTTGTATACAAAGAACATTATGAGTATAATCATCTATATATTTTATCAAATAGTAATTCTTCTGTATTATGTACTATATAATTACAAATTTTTATATATTTACAGAATACAAAATCATATAAACATTTTTGAACAGATATATCTTGACAACAACTTAATCAACTTTGATATTTGAGAATTTTTTTGAATTCTACATATATCTAGAATTCAAATGAGTCTTTAAATATCAAAATTAATCAAGATGTTATCAAAATATCTTTATTCGAATATATAAATAGATCTAATAATTAGAATATATTGGTTAGAATTTTTCTAAAAACTCAAATACATATATCTCAACAATGATATATTTGATTTTGATATATTAAACCTTTTAAATTCTATAGCTTTGTAGAATTCAAAAGTATTTTTAAACATCGAAGTTAATTATTCGTTGCTAAAATATTATTAATAGAAGTTTGCTAAAAACAAAAATTTATTAAATTTTTTAACAAACTTCTAGCATTAATATCTTAGCAACAAAGTAATCAATTTTGGTATTTAAGAATTCTTTTTGAATTTTACAAATTATAAGAGGTTAGGGCCCTATAGCTTAGTAGTTTAAGCACCTACTCCCACAGCTAAGGTTTTTGGTTCAAGTTCTACTAGAAGCAGTTTCTAGAGTATTTAAATACAAAACCCTGTGAAAGTTCAAGTAAAGTACGAATTTGGTTTAGAAATTTCTAGAAAGAGATCTATTATAAAGAAAAAGAACACTACTTGTGATAGCAGCATTATAGAAGATTTGATAACAGAAAAGTTGCGCAAGTAAATCCTGCAGGTGGCAAGCTAGCACCAACAACTCTAAGGCAGTTTTGAGATCTTGATTTGAAAGGAACACAACTATTGTACAAACTAGAGTAGTGAGAAAAGTAGCAAATATAAGGGATCTGTAGTAAAGAATTAGCCTAACCAAATAAGAAACATCTCTAGCAATCTATACTAATATGAAGTAGTTAGTATAAAGAGATGCTACAGAATATCTGTGTATATGTAAAAGACTTACATATTGTTAGTATTAGTTGCATCCAATTGGAAGTTTTTGACAAAACACAAGACCAATATAGTACACTAATTCTAAAACACCAACCAATACAGCTGTAAGTTAAAAGTAATATTGTTATACTAGACTCAATTAGAAGTAGCTCTACTAGTTAGAATTATACCTATGTCTAGGTCTATATCAATTTGGAGAATATATAAATAGATATACTATATATATACTCAAATGATAAGTCTACTACTAAAAGGGTATAAAAATCAGCAAGATGACTAGAGAAGCAATCTGAGGATTCACCTAAGTAAGATCCTATATATGGATAGGTGTATACACCAAATTGGAAGTACTTAGGTATAACAGCAAAAAAATTTCACCAATCTGGTAATAGATTTAATAAATCTAAAATTATCTATATAATCTGCTTCTAATTCAAGTATACTATATAGTATAACTTGCTTATAGTTTTGGCTTCTACTAGAATTGCTATAGTAAATATATATAAAAATACTATATCTTCAATATGTAACTTTTGTTTTAATAAATATAGACATAATCATTTTAATTTATTAGATAGATCTTTGCACCAACTCCAAGAATATTAGTCTAAAATAGAATATATTATAATAGTTAAATTTTTATAATTAGACAAAAATATTTTACTCAATATTATAATTTTACAAAAAAAATAAAAACAGCCAATGTAACTCACATAGGCGCAGAGAGTTTAAAGAAGTCAATCATTGTATAAAAACAAATATAGTATAAACGGTATATGTAATAAAAATTTTATATGTATAAAATTTTAATACTCTGCCCATTCTAATTAGCGCTTATAAAAAAAATATACTTCATTGCGCTATTAATTTCTCATTCATTATTTAGTATTTTTTAAAGTCTCAAAATATATAAATTTATAAGACATATCTTCGCATAGAAGCAACGTTAGATTCTATTAACGATTAAAATAATATTTACCTATTGATATTTACAACTTATTGTTGTGAACTAACAAAATAGAAAAGCGGAAGATAGGTAAATTTAACGCTATTATAATTTAAAGCTGCATTCAAAAAAAGTAAAAAGAAGTTAAATTAGAAAATGTTGAATAATGAATACAAAATTGCAAATGCAATAAAGCAAAAATTTCATAAGCATGTACCAACTTAAAATTTGATTTGTAATCTTCATTATGCCGCTTACACTAAGTTTGTGATTATATGCAGTTGTATTATACTAATTTATTTGTATATTGATTACATAGATCATGTGATGCTAGACTGATTGAACATCTAAATTTTTATATTATAGATAAGTATCTAAGAAGCTATATAAATAAGTATTATTTATTTCCCCCAGGAAATAAATAGGTAATCCCCAGGAGCGTGTTACTAGATGTTAATCTGACTGCGCATCATCATTATTTAATCATGTGTTAACTATATATAAGATGATTATTTTTTACTGCGCTTTACTTTACTTCACTTTACTTTACTTTGCTTTACTTTATTTTGCTTTACTTTATTTTGCTTTATTTTACTTTTCTATTGAACCTTTTTTTTTTTTACGTGTACTTTTACTTTTTTCTATACTCTTATTTTATATTTTCGCTTTATTTTTTTATCCTTTTAATTTATTTCTATTTTATATTTCGCTTTTTATTTTTGCTTTGACTTTTTATTTAACTCTACTTTCATCTGCATATTTTATTTATTTCGCTTTTGCATTTTTTAAATTAAAAAAAAAAATAAAAAGTATAATTCTTGATTCGTTTCATCATCTAGAGAAGAAATTGTAGAATTTCAGCATACATTAAGAAATAAAAATACTGATAAATCAATAAATATTTGGATAGATTTACTTTATAAGTTTTGTCAACTGCATGGATATTTAGACGATCTTAAAGCACTTGATGACAAAACAATATCTGAACAGCTTGAACAATTCATAGTTGAAGTTCGTAAGTTAAATGGTCAAGAATATAAAGCCTCTTTACTTTATACTGGCTTTTGCACAATTGCACGGGGAATTTCTGAAGCTTTTGAAAATATAAGAGCCATCAATTTATTTGATAAGCACAAATTTAAAAATTTGCATAGAATATTGGATGGTCATATGAAATCAATTGTTGAAAAAGGAGATAAAAATCATAAACAATCAGATCCTTTAGAGACTGATGAAATTAAGTTATTGCTTGACTCACCTGCAACTTCAATTAATGATCCTAAAGGTCTTATGTGACAGGTTTGGCTTTGGTTGTCATTACTGTGTTGCTTAAAAGGTGGCGACGCTAAACATTTGAAAGCTTCTTGGCTCAAAGAGTTGGAGAATGGCAGGATGCAACTTGAATTACCTAAGAAAAAAAATTATGCAGGTGGTATTAAGGATCCATATGCTGAAGCATGTTCTAGCTTTATACCACCTGACATTTCTGGAAATATGTATACACCAGTGGCAGATATTAAAAAGTACTTGACCAAACATCCAAATGATACAGAGGATGATTTTTTTTTTGTTACACTAAATACACCCAAAAAAATTTATTGTGACGAATGGTATTTACCCACTAAATTAGGAAAAGGATCACACGATACAATGATATATTCAATTTGTAAAGATGCAAAATTGGATTTTAAAGGTCATATGATTACGAATCATTCAATACGTTCAACAGGTATTCATAGTCTTGTAGAATCTGGTGTAATGCTTGATAAGCAGATGATTTTTTCTTAACATAAAACTATCACTGGTGTATCTGCTTATCAACATCAATCTCTAAAGCGCAAGCTGGACAATATATCTCATTTAATTCCAATTGAAGAAGCGGGTAATTCATATTTATACATTTTAAGTTTTTTTTTAAATTGTAATATATGTACAGTACTTAATATTTATTATGAATTAGAACCCCTGCAATGAAAGACTCAACGTCAATCTATAATAATCAAATCAGTACTGTAATGCGGTATTGTAATTGTTTTATTTAAGTTGTAATTAGTAAGTTTTTTTTTTAGAATTTTCTAAGGCATCAGATTTAATTTCAATTAAGCAAAGTAAAACATCTAACACACTTGAAGATGAAACAGATAATCAAAAATCAGTTGTCCCAAAAATTTCTATCGAAAATTGCAGCAACATAAGCATTAACATTATATTCAATAATATTTAATAAGTCTACTCTAAAATGCTATTAATCAGTAATGTTAAGCAAATTTAATGTAATGAAAAAGCATTAACCACAATTAATTAAAGTTCTGATTTAAAGTAACCAATCGATTAAAGTTTGTAGCAAAAGTATGAGCATTTTATCTTATCTGATTAAAGTCTTTTGCTCAATGCATGAGAATTAAAAAAAAATCGATTAGTTGAAATTCCTGGTTCGAAATACAAGAATTTTAAAAAGAAGCATGAGAATTAAAGAAAGGCTAACCTAATTAAATTTACTGGCCAAGGCATTATGAGAATTTAAAAAAACTCCTGATTATTTTAAAGTTTCTGGCCCAAAGCATAAGAATTAAATTAATTAAAGTTACTGACCCAAAGTAATACGAGAATTTAAAAAAAAAAGCTGAGTTAATTAAGTTCATAATTCAAAAATATGAGAATTTTTAATAAACTCTGAATTAATTAAAATTGATAACTTTGAAATTCCCGATGATCAATATGAGACCGGGAACCTTCTGTAGGAAAATTCCTGGTCACAATATGATCATCATAAATATAGTTAATCATGTGTAAAAAATTATAATGAAGGCAGTCATGAGTGACACTTAGTGTGACAGGAGATTAATATTATAATCTTTTTTCTCTATTTAAAATATAAAACAGAAACATGATTATCTATTTATATATTTTGGTAATGAAGATATTAAATTATTTATTTACTAAATAATTCTTGAAATAAGGCCAAATAAGAATTTTTTAATTAAATTTGTAAATATAATAAAAGAGTATATTAGTAATAGTTTTTATAAATAAATTAAATAATTTAAATTCAAAAAGCAGAGATTAATAAAGATAAAAAATTATTTAAATTATTATTAATAATTTTTATAATAATATTAATATTAATTCTTTTATAATATATACTGAAAAATAAACAATCATTAATAAAGAAATCTTAGTATATCAGAAAGCTTTGCAGATTTAAAATTAACAAAAATTTAAAAAAATTCTTCTTATAAATTAGAACTTGCTTTTTGGTTACAATAATAGTAAAATAAAGTATTAATATTTTTTATTTAATGTCGGGGATGATGCTGAAATCGGATGATGCTGAAATTTAGGGGCCTTAATTTGAAAATATAAATCCTACTAA